CAAGGCAGATATCCTCACTATGCTTTGAGACCTTAAATTAGTAATAAAACACGCGTTTTTGCTTATTCCATTTGCGTTTTCACCTTGAAATAAATAATTATAGCGGTTCTGTTGCACAAATTAAACAAGTGTCGTTGCAAATCTGATGCAAGATCGGTCAGGCGTCTCGCTAAAGCATGAGTTTCCAGAGCATCTATTGCAATCCCTTTCAATTTGACATATGAAACATATTCACGAACTTTACGCTACAACTATAGGACAATAGATAGCGATTGCGTCCGCGACATTATTTTGAATCATACTGAATGAAAAATATCAAACGAAAGAGTCTTATACGAATGAGGAAGTGTTTAAAAAAAAATTAGGTCCCAAAATCAAACAAGATGTCGCTACTGTACGTTCTTTATTTCTCCATTACAACCTTTCCGGTTTTCTTTCAAGTTTAAAAGTAAATTAGTTTTCAAAACTCAATACACAACTCATATTCTATTTGTACTTCGTATTTTTCGTTTATGACCCGTAGGACACCAAAGTGGTTCACCTAGGTGTTCCACTGTTAACTTTTTGTACCCCTGGTTCACCTAGGTGTTCTGCCATTCAAAATAATGTACCCGTAGTTCACCTATCTAATGAAACACAAGTCATCCTAAATAATTGAAAAACTTAATGTTAAAATTGATAAAATTAAAGATTTTCAGGAGAAAACCAGAAAAAATCTGTTTTGGTAATGTAACAACTTAATAAGAGGCAGAAAACAGACTTTACTCCAGGGGTGAATATTTTACTTTTAATTAATAGATATTGTGTCAAATGTTTGGTTCGCATAAAAAAAAAATCGCCTAATTACGTGACTTTCCTAATGCACTCACTATAGTGATCCTTATTAACTAATTGCATTTGTATGTTGAGAATATAGTTTTCATTTTCGAGAATTATTTTTCTTTTTTAATAGGATTTTTTATCAACAGGTTTTTTTATAGGTCTAAATAATGTCACTGTGTTTTTGTTTAGCGCTCGGTTTCATTTGGCACTGAAGCCTTCGGTAACATTATTGGTACGGTTATGCTGTCTAAATACACTTAATTTTTTCATTTAATCATTTTTGGCCAGTACATGAGTAGAGAACAAAAGGATGGTCAACGGTCTCGATTCCCATCAATTTCCTACACCCAAGAGTTTTTTGGCTGTGTAGAAATAATCCAATAGATTTTAATATTTAGAGGTGCAAAAAGTTAGCCGTAGAAGTAGATCAACGAAAAGAGTATATAGTAAGAGAAAAGAGTAGGTGAACCAGGGGTAAACAAAATTAACCGTGGAACACCTAGGTGAACCAGGGGTACAAAAAGTTAACAGTGGAACACCTAGGTGAACCACTTTGGTGTTCCACGGGTCAGAAACGGTATTTTTATTGATATCTAAGTTTCGAACTTTGCAAATTTCAGTTTTTTAATATGTTAGTTAAAAAAATGGAAATGACTGTCTTTGGTCCATTCGTTTCCTGCAAAAATCAACTTTTTTAATGCTTTCGTTTTTTTGTTAAATACTTCCTTGTTACAATCTTTCGACAGCATTTGTCATTGACAGCTTCAAAAGCATATGCGACATTAAAAGTTATATGATTTCATAAATCGCTATCACAATCGATATACTTTTAAAGCTATTGATAGATTTAAAATCGCACATTTTTCAATGAATTAACACTTTATTGTATAGTCAACAGCATATCAGATTATACGAAACTGTCTAATTTCCCCACTCGATTTTAAATCTAACACATTGTATGTAGAGGTCAAAATCTATAGTGGAAATTTGACAAATCGCGAAAACCTGACAAAAAAATCAAAATACACATAAATAAAACGAATCATAATCTGGAAAATAATATATTCACTGGATAAAACAACAAAATATCAACAATCTAAGAGTAATCTAAATGCTTGGAATATATTAATTACATATTCAAACAAAATTATCTTCATTAGGTTACATGGAAACAGGCGACGACAATAATCTTGTTTCATTAACAATTAAAAATTATATAATTATCTACAGTATAATTGGATAATACTTATAATATTACAATGGCCATCCACCATCACACAATCCCGGAATACATGAAAAATATTTCACCTTAATATCTTCGAGATTCCGAATTTGGAAGCATTTTATTTGCAATGGCAACACTGGCGGCGTCTATTGTTTTTGCCGCCAAATTATCAATCAACAACCCGATTTATATACAAGACTGGCAAATGATCTTGTTTATATTCTCAAGACCGTATTCGATATTATTAATAAATAATAAATCTCGAAATTAGAAATTTCTAAACCAATAACCACCTAAATATAGCGGTAAATTCGTAAAAATGGCGCCAAATAGAAATTCATTTCTAAAATGAATACTAATTTAAAATAAAGAAACCATTCCATGCAGCCATAAACCTCCACCGTTATATAAAATTCGTTTTATAAAACTGAATTCAGTTTCACAAGCCCAATACTTTTTATATATAAAAGTACTCGGTTTACCATTTTTGATTTGGAGTTACTAAAATATTATTCAATTATCCAAAGGCAAAGGAATCTCGTACCATGCGACCACGTTTCATGTTTATTATTTATGATGTAAGTGCTCCGTTTTAATGACAATTTCTTATTAGCACAACAAATTTTATAACTTACAGGATTTCAGCACTACTAAGAAATGAAGCGAACATGCAATTTAATAACGCGATTCAAAAGTGACTGTTGGAAAGGGATACCGTTTCGTAATCTGTATAGAGCCATCTCGCTTTATTTTTCTAAACCCCTTTTGTATCCACTACAAATTACACACAAGAAAACATCACAATACAAATATCACTGGAAGAATTTAAATATATCATTTTCAAACTTATTACCTTAGCAATAGGCTTATATCATCATTAATCTACTTGAAAAAAAAAACAAAGCTTACAATTGTATACCTTACAGTGACGCATTAAAGAATATATTACAAAGGTACTGGCGCAGACAAATTTTGCCATTTAACTGATCGCTCAAACATCACAAATTTCGATTCCATGGCAGAATGTAATAGACCCCTTGGTCTTAAACTTCAAGTATACTTACCAGTATTATCAATTTACTCTAAGCAATATTGCTAGTTAAAAAAAAACACACAAACTTGTTCTAATATCACTTCACTAAATTTTAATTCAAATCCATTACAAATCTATAACGTATCTAATTAATTTATCAATACAGATAATCATTTATAAGTTATCATACATTTTTTTCACTTTCATAAGATACAATTGTTCGATTCCAAAAACTATATCAAAGCTTTAAATTAAAATATGTAGTTTGCGACACACTTACAACCTGGCAACATTCACTGATGGTAGTTTTTAGTAGAGTTGGTTTCGAAAATTTAAATAAAAAATAACATCAAATACCAATCAAATCTCTATAGTTCTTAATTTGAATCTTTTAATGGAATACATATATTATTTTCATTCATCAGAAGAATGCTTAAGGGGCCATCCATAAATTACGTCACACGTTAGGAGGGGGGCGGGGGTTCAACGAACTGTGACATTAGAACAATATTTAGTAGAATTTGTATAGACAAACATGTGACAGGGGGAGGGGGGGTTGGGTTAAAAAATCATGAATTTTGTGTGACGTAATTTATGGACGGCCCCTAATTTAAAGGAATCCGTACGTCGCAAAACCGTACAACTACAGAGGTATTATAACTAGAGCGAGACACATGTCTGTCTATGAACAAGAAGATCGCGGTACTATATCTGTTTCACTCTTACGCATCCACAGCAAAGTGTAATGAAGCCGAGAAATTGTTTTGATTTACGTTAAACACTTTGCACAATTTACAGATAGGGTATACCGCGATACCGCGATGTCGTCTATCTCTTTCTAACCTGGAGACAGCTGAAGGGCCTTCTACTCTTATAATATCTTTTATTATTATATACATTAGATATAACTAATTTTGGTCGATGTGTTTTTATTAACTGGTGCTAATTTTCGGGAAAACTTAAAGCGTAAGTATATGAAAGACGGAAATGGCTGCAACTAATCAAAATCAGTTAAACAACTTTCCACCCGCCGCTTCTTTGTCTTATACATATATACCTTCCTTTTGGATCACCATGTATATCGATGAAACCGCATTAATATCCGTTGTGTAGTTTAAAGATCAGCGTACAGACAGCGTGAAGCAACATTGTTTTATACTATGTATAGATATTTACATAAACTCTTTTGCTAATAAAAATAAAGATGTTATTAAAGTAAGAACAGCGCCATCTAGGGATTCTCTTTGAATGAGGAAGTATAAAAAAACGAAAGCACTAAAAAAAGCATCTCCACTAGATGGCGACTCTAGCAAAAGTTGATTTTTGCTGGAAACGAATGGACCAAAGACAGTCATTTCCGTTGCTTTTAACTAACATATTATAAAACTGAAATTTAAAAAATTCGGAACTTAGATATCAATACAAATACGAAAAAGTACAAATAGAATATGAGTTGTTTATTGAGTTTTGAAAACTAATTTACTTTTAAACATAAAAGAGAACCGTAAGGGTTGCCATGGACAAAATAAAGAACGTACCGTAGCGACATCTAGTTTGATTTCGGAAACCAATGTTTTTTTTAATACTTCCTCATTAAATAGGCAGCTGTTTACAAATAAACTGTCAGACGCAGAAATGTATCTGCTGATAGGACTTCCCAATATGAGTCGTGTTTCAGGTCACGTGATACACAGACAAAAGACGCGAATTCATAAAAACATATCAAAATCAAATATCTGTGTACATTTCAATAGAAAATTAAGTTCATGTGGAATTTCGTAACTTATTTTTCACTGCAAACACTATTTTGATCCAATTATAGTTCATTTCTCACGGGGACCTTCAAATATAAACCCCTTGTAGTCTAAATAGACATCTTTGAGTACCACTGGTGTAATCTTCTTTTTTTTTTTTCATTTTATCACCGATTTTCTTTGATTCAAATTATAATACAATCAATACTAGCGTATAAAAATACAACTACACTTTTTTTGACGTCAATTAGCGACAGCTTAGTCAAAATCAACTTTAAAGTTATTATAATTAAATTTCATTTATTTTTTTAATTTAAATTTAGAAAACGAAGCAACCATTACAATCTTGATGTAATAAATAAACAAACAAAGTAAATGATAAAAGAGAAAAAGTATAGAAATAAGTATAATACGACCTATAATGATACTCATTAAATTTTAATATTATTTTGAAATATGAACCTTAATATAAATACGTATAAAGCATAATATTTGTCAAAAATATGACATCTCATACCTTTATGGTGAAAATGTTTGTTGCAAAGCACTAAAGTCGTGAGGTAGCTACAATGCGTATAAGCCCTTTTTGATATTGCTCTTAATGACGAGTGAATTTTGTTTTTAAGATTTTTTTTAACACTATAATAACAATTTGGAACAACTAATTTCTGAAAAAAAATTCATAAATACAGTTCATTTAATTTATTATTAACAAATATTGTAAAATCCGGGACTTTATAACGATATCTTAGCATGGATATGACATTTCAGTCTGGTTTATTTATCATCATTAACGTATTAAAATCCCCACTATAAGTGCACAGACGTAGCCTATGGAATCACTTAAGCTGTAACCGACATCGTGAGCCCAGTGCGGATTGGTGGGTGATTACCGATTACAGACGCAGCAGGAAACATCTTACTGATGAAACAGAGAGAAAAAAAAACTAAAATGCGAATAAGAAAAAGGAATTCAGGAAAAGAAAATTATTTTGGTTCAAAAATGCTTTATCCGCGTTGCTCTTTCTTTCGTCATATTACATCTAATATAATCCAAAAAGCATGATAAAATATATGAACATTCGTTGCAATGCTGCGGGTACAAACTAATATAAATTTAGTTTTAATTCTGGCAAACTGAGTTTTTAATTCTTACTAAGATAATAGCAGTAAAAGTTTTGACATAATTGTTGTTTTATAATATAGTTGTTTTTAAAATTTAGTTTATTGAAGTAAAACAGGATTTACATTATTGCATTTTTTTTAATAAACAATAAGATCTGACATGATCACTCTTCCTGTGACCAATTCCAACCCTCCATAAGGGTCGGTAACCCTCCGTGCTTCGGAAAACATTTAATCCGCACTGGACCAGCGTGGCGCGACCCAATAAAGGTCACGAATAGGCTGATTCTGATAGTAAAAATTTTGTAACTTCATAGTCGTATCCATACTAATCTAACATTTGTTAACACTAGACCCCAAATTGCATTATCTAGTTATATAATTATTAAATTATCAAAGACTTATACGGCGCTATCTATTTATTATCACAAAACTTGTGATATGAAAAATATTATTTTTATTTACGTTTGATTTAAATACGTTATAATTTATTAATTAAAGAGGATTCTTACTTTCTTTAACATCGAGGAGAGAAGCAGATAGGAGCAGACAAATACAATATCCATGTGAGTTTTCTAAGATAGCTTTAAAACAATAAGGCCGCCATTTGTTATACTAATGCATTTTTTTACGTTGATGTATATTTGAAGATTATTTTTATTCTTAAATGGATGACGCCTTATACTACTAGACAAGCTAGAAATTTCCAGTGCTCTGTCTCGCTTACTCTTTACTACAATTTCTCATCATCCTCTCTTCTTGATCCTGAATTTGTATACTATTATAATAAAAAACCATTGAAATAAGTTTTACCGGTACAACCGGTTTTCGTTAACCGGTATTTATTTCATGAAATCTCGTGTTCACATCTCTGAATAAAAGCACACGCGACGATCAGTTTCAGTCTTTCTGATAGAACAGCCAGTTTAAGATAGCTTGAAGTACAATCGCTAGCACAAAACCACCGAACAAGTCCCACGAATGCGTCGTAGTAGGCATCCTGCCAACGTTCTGCGGTCTATACGCCACCGCTTGTCTATGCCCCTCAGATAGAGACTCAACCGTCCTGGTCAACTTTTCTATGGCATTAGTGTGGTCTCTGAGCGTCGTGTCTATGGAGTAAAGGGTTTGCTTGAGCGTCCGCCTGTATAAAAACAAAATAGTAACAAATATATTCGATAGATATGTAATGCTATGTCGATATTGACATTATTAATAACTAGTTTTCCTCAGAGGATGACTTATTTTTGTTTATATGCCTGTCGGATATAATTATATAATGATATAATTATTTAATAATTCAGAAAATTTCTAGTCGTTATTATAATTTTCTTAAAATCATATCGGTGCACTTCCGTGGCATCAAAAATCATATAAAATGCGTTCCTTCAGTCCCTTTAGCTATTCGAAAATAGAAATTTCATTTTCGCAGAAATACAATAATGAAAATGCCATGATTTTTCATTCATTTCATTTTCATTTTACACGTAAAACTTAAGTTATTCACTTGACATTGGCAAAATTGTGCGAAATAATTTTCCAATGTAGTTCGTGTTTCACGTCAAACGAAACACCAATCCGTGAGCGAGACATCATTTGTGGGTAAATTGGTAGTGAAACTACCTAGGAAAAGTGGGGGACTGATTTTTAATTACATACTCAACTTTTAACAAGTTACAAGGGTCTTTTTTTGCATTTTACTCATTTGTGGGCTTGAATATAATATTTTTTTTTACTGAATATCTTTTTCGTTTATCCTACAAATAACGTTGCGTCCACCGAGACGCCGTTTAATCGATTTATTTATACAGTTAAATTTTAAACCTAAGTTTGGGTACATAATAAGATATATTTACATTAAATAATATTTTTTATACCTATAAACAATATGGATGCTTATATACCTATAAACAATATGGATGCTTATATACCTATATAAGCATCCATATTGTTTAATTTAAAACCAATTTTTTGAAATCTGTCCGATCCCCTATACGTACGAGTATCTTTATTTGCACTCACGTGGTGGTCTTAGGTCTAGCGTGTTCATCTCTGCTGTCCGAATCAGTGAGCACCGGCGCGAGGTCCCGCGGCGGGTCCCGGGCGCGGGACTCTACGGGACTGCCGGCCGCTAACGCGCGCAGGCTACTGATTACGAATGAGTCCTCGTACTCCAACTCTTCATCCGGCTGCCAAGGACTAAAGCCGGAGATAATATAAGCACTTTTCTATAATGGCCGGTTTATATCTATTAAGTAGTAACCTAATGACTCGGAAACAAATTTATTTTTTAAACCGGTTCGACCTAATACATGAGGAACTTTTGATGGCTAAGCGTATTTGAACCGGTTCACTAGAAATACGGTTTTATTCACTAACCGGTATAATACATGTCTTCTATTAAACATATTTGCATTAAAAGCTCAAAGACATTACTCGTTACGAGCCAAGTGAACTGACCGTTTTTTTTTTTTACATTACATGAAATACCGGTTTCGAATCCTGATTTTAAATTACTTAATTTCATAATGGCTAGTTAACGCATGTTAAATTAATAAAAAATTATTTATCTATTGAATTATATTAACTCAATTGTAAATGAGTGAAGACGAACGAGTGAATTGTAAACGACACTGTCGCTTTAAATTAAGTTAAGAATTTAGTTAACTACTTAATACGTGTAAAACATTAAGCGGGAAGAAAATATTAACAACTAGAAAATAATAATAACACAAATTGTAAAAAAAAAATAACAAAAATAAAATGGGTATGTTGTAGCATACATACCTTGTGTTAACATGATTATATCTCCATCCTTGTTCAACTAACCCTGTGAAAAAAGAGATGGGACATATATGAAATTAGACTACATTAAAATCATCATCATCAGCTCTTTCACGTCCCCACTGCAGGGGCTCAGGCCTTCCTTATGGATGGCTAAGGAGGATGGGCCATGACCCTCCACGCTGGCCCAATGTGGATTTGAGGGTATTAACGACTGCAAATGCAGCCGGGACCAACGGCTTAACGTACCTTCCGAAGCACGGAGTAGCTCGAGATAATAATTTTTGGTCACCCATCTCGTGACCGACCCTTGCGAAAGTTGCTTAACAACTACGATTGCGGGCCGCGGCGCTTATCCACTACGCCACCGAGCTACTCTCACATTAAAATAGTAGAGTATTTTATATTAATAGTAGAAGACTTAAAGCCGGTTTCCTGATTGAGAATAGTGTGAAATCTCAACAAGATTATTCTCTATAACTTATTATTTATTTTTTTTACTTTTCTCAAATGGAAAGCCTTAATTTTATCAAAAGTAAACCTGTATAAGTGACGTTTGAATACAGTTCGAGGCGTTCTTAACTTTAAATTCGCAAATTCAGAAACCGGGTGTAAATACATTGATAGAATTTTTAACAATCAACAAAACAGGTTCTGAGTTATCATTCAATTTAGAAAAGGTCATTTCCCGAAAGTTTGAGAAACCCTATAGTAATTCAAAGTATATACTTTCTCAAACTGTTTCCAATTATTAATAAATATTTATTACAACTTGACCCCACACTAATTAATAAGAAAATTTATTATATAAAAGCGACTCTAATGCTTATAAAATAAAGTACATAATCGCTCATATCCCCATACCAATAAAAACAAGAAAAAAACATCAATACCCCAATAAAATATAAAAGACGTAATTGAAAAATTCGATCATATTCACAATGACATTACATTTTTATTATCGACTCTAATGCGTAATAACCAGTGGTCGGAATTAGGTAGAGTTATTCATGTACTTACACTGATTTCAGACAGCGAAAGAATAAAGTGGATATGCCTCAAATACCGAGATTTTTTTTTTTTTTATGAGTCTAGGCTAGAAGCAAAAGTATTCGCTTGTATTTATAAAAAAGGCGAAATATGCGTATGAGAATTTGCTTAAGACTATCAATAATTTGTATTGTAAATTAATGTAAACTAATAAAAATTTTATGTTAATTATCTTTGTTTTATTTGTCTATCTCTGACGTTGTTATTATTATTTAGTTGTAAGATTGTTGGCCACACGGGATTGTCCATTAGAAATCCCGGGAAGGTCCACATTAATATCAACATTTCGATGCAAGTACATAAATAACTCTACCTAATTCCGACCACTGGTAATAAGGTACATAATCGCTCACCCTCCGGCGGTTGCAAATGGAAATCTTTATGGAAGAATCGCGGCACCCACGGAGCTACTAGATTCCTTGCTCTAGATCTTTGGGCTTCTTCTACTATTGTCTTCTCTTCGGTCGCTGCCACCTGAATTAATTAAAAACAAATCATTAATAACAACAATTGGATAAGCGCCGCAGCCCGCGATCGTAGTCGTTAAGCAACTTTCGCAAGGGTCGGTGACGGGATGGATGACCAAAAACTTATTATCTCGAGCTACTCCGTGCTTCGGAAGGCACGTTAAGCCGTTGGTCACGGCTGCATTTGCAGTCGTCAATACCCTCCAATCCGCATTGGGCCAGCGTGGAGGGTCACGGCCCACTTCTCAACCATCAATAAGGAAGGCCTGAGCCCCTGCAGTGGGGACGTAAAAGGGCTGGTGATGATGATGATGATGATGAATAACAACAATGACAACAAATTATGATAAAGAGCTGGTAAGTTTGTTTCGCTTGTTCTTCTTGTCAGCTAAAAGACGTCCTGAACGAGTGGTAAGGGAATAAAAATTTTTTTGAACGATTCAATAGTGCTTGTAACAAGCTTACTTGAATAAAGATATTTTCATTTTATTTCAATTGATTTGCATTACAACATGTGCTCGATACTTGTTAAGCAACTTTCGTAATGGCCTGTCATGGGATTGGTGACCGAAAATGTATCAATTCGCCCTACGCTAAACCGTTGGTTGGTCGCGTCCGCAGTCGTTAACACCCTCCAATCCTCACTGAGTGTATTCGATTCCATCCTTCGAGGCCTTCCCGTCTGAGCGCGAAATTTTTTTTTCGGTCACCCATCCCGCGACTGACCATTGCAAAGGTTGCTTGACAACACCGATCGAGATACACCACGCACCTGATCGTTGTTCTGTATCGCCTCCGACACTTTCATCCAGAGCCTCTGGGACTCGTACTCCTGTTGATAATCTAGTCTCATGAGGTATCTCGTCATACGTTGCTCCTTCAATATGGCGACGTCCAACAAATTCGTCTCCTCCTTGAATGTAATTACATTGTAATTAAAGACTAATCTAGTTTGGCCCCACCCAAACATTGATGAGAATACGCTCTGTAGTAGCGAAAAGTAACAAGCGCTTGAAAGATTCGGCAGTCCTGTTAGGTCCTGGGCAGGGCTTGGAAACCGGTTAATTTTTTGAACCGGTTCGACGTAAGTACATGCCAAACTTTACATTAAAGGTTCAGCTCCTTTGAACAGGTTTTTAAACCGGTTCACTAGAAATACGGTTTTCTTCATTAACCGGTTTAAATATGACTCCAAACAATGATTTCACAAACTTCTTAAGTGCCTTTACTCCTATCTATAACATCCGTACACAGGTATAATAAATGTCGTCGCCTAAAAATGATATAATTTGCATTAAAAGCGTAAGAACATTGCTTTTTAAGAACCAAGCAAATTAACCGGTTTTTATTCCATCCGAATTTCACTCCGCATTTAGTTCCGATCCGGAACGGAACATTATAAGAGAACAGGTTTTACCTAAATAAAAACGGTTAATTCTGAAGCGGTTTCAAGCCCTGGTCCTGGGTAGCTCAGCGGTTAGAGCAGTCATCCAGATCTCCAAAGGTCGCGGGTTCGATTCCCATCACAGGGTCTAGACCAAGTGGATTTTTTAAGCATTTTCTATTAAGAACAAACTTCAGTATGGCATAGTGAATGCAAAATTAATCAAAATATAATAATCTATACTGATAATAGGGATGACGACTGGGTAAAAAAAATGCAATTCTATTTAGTCCGTCAGTCAGATAATAGAAAAATATTAGATACGTATTTTTTTTACTTCAATTTAGCAAGAAATAGCTTAGATACCAGGCATTAAAGTTGAGGAGTGGGGGCTCGCTACGTCACAGTTTAGTAGAAAACGTACTCTAACGTGATGCGAAAATTCAACTCAATGTAACGCCGTAATTTTATGATTAGGAAAAAAATAAAAAGATACGTGTTTAATATTTTTGAACACTCTACCAGACGGACAAACAAACAAAAATTAGTCATCATCCCTATTATAAAGAGGAAATATATTATAGTTTGTTTGCAAAGAATAAGCTTCGAAACTATAGTCTGTCAACGTCGTGCTGACCACGCCTGCGGGGTACAGACGTTGGCGGGGACGCGGTGACACGGTCTCGGAGGGGTGCGAGCGGTGTAGCGGGAGGGCGAGCGAGCAGGTCGCGCGCTCGGGAGCGCCAGTCGCCGTTTCTCACTCGCCGCGGTCGCAAGGGTACTAGGGGTTTGCCGCGTTTCGTAAATCACATACGATATCACGAACCAAAGATAAATCCGACGATGAATAAACCTATCGGACGGCAGGGTAAAGAAATTGTTTTCAAAGATTATACTTTTTTTAAAAATCGTAAACAAGATCGTTCAACGCAGGAATATCAAAATGATATAAATATACTAAAAACCGTATCTGCCGCAACTGGTGTCTCAGAAAAAACGATAAGAAGAATTGTAAATGAAAATACACTACTCGACGCCGGCGCCGCCGACAATGCGGGAACATCTAGGTTTAAGTCTCCCAGAAAAAATCTATTCCCAAAAAAACGAAAGGAAATAGACAGTTTTACATTAGGTGTAATTAGAAGAAAAGTGTCCCAATACTACACTGTAAAAAAAGTGATTCCCAGTTTAAGAAATCTAAAAGCGGAATTAAAAACAGAAGGTGTTATAGATTGCTCACATGAGTATTTGAGAAAGATTCTTCAAGACATGGGTTTTAAATTTTTAAGCTGTCAGTCTAAAAGAAAGCTACTGATCGAACGACATGATATTATGTCTCTGAGATGGCATTATATTCGTGATATAAAAAAATATCGGGCAGAGGGAAGACCAATTGTTTTCTTGGATGAGACTTATGTAAACCAGGCTCATAATGTGCGAAAATGTTGGCAATCAAACGAAGAACGTGGTGCCATGAACGCTATAGGCAAGGGGTGTCGCCTGATAATAGTCCACGCTGGAAGCCGTAACGGATTTGTAAATGATGGTTTACTTATCTTCAAATCGCACTCAAAATCGGGTGACTATCATGGGGATATGAATGCCGTTAATTTTCAAAAGTGGGCATCTGAAAAACTTTTGCCAAACATTCCTGAAAACTCTGTCATAGTAATGGATAATGCGGCTTATCACTGTACCCAAATTGACAAAAAACCTACTATGAGCTCTCTTAAAGGCAACATGCAAGAATGGTTAAAGCGAAAAAATGTGCCTTTTGAAGAATCCGCCCGTAAATGTGACCTTATGAACATAATAGATCAGCAAAACGTCGAGAAGCAATACAGAGTCGATGAAATTATTAAGGCTAAAGGACATACGGTTCTACGCTTGCCGCCTTACCATCCCGACCTTAACCCCATCGAAATGGTATGGGGGGACATAAAAGGAGAATTAGCTAGGACTGCTATAGATTCAAATCTAGAAAAAAAGAAAGAGGTCCTTATTTCTCTTTTTGCTAATTATTCGGCCGAAAAATGGCGTAAATGTGATGACCACGTCATAAAAAACGAAGAAGAATATTATAGGACAGACAGAGTTTTTGATGATGAAATTGACAGGTCAGTATATTTATGTATAATTTAATTTAGAATACCTACTGGTTGAAAAGTGACATAGGTAAAACTGACTTTAATATTTTGTTTGCAGGATGATTATATCGTTAGGCAACGAAGATAGTGATACAGAGGACGACACCGAAGAAGAACGCGACTTGGATCATGAAGAAGCGAGTGATTGATTTTTATTATTTATTAATTATGGTTATTATTAATGCAACCATATTCTATTTTCAATAAATAAAATTTGTAGTGACGAAATTTTCTTTTGGTTTCATTCAATAAATTTAATAACATTCGTTAGCAAAATAATATATAATTTATTCATACTTTGTTTGAATATATCTCGAGATGTATCTCTTGGCATATTCGTACCATGCGGATCGCCGCGCGCGCCCGCTCGTGCTACCGCGTCCCCGCCAGCCCGCGCCTTCCTAAGGCGTGGTCAGCACGAAGTTGACAGACTATACCAGAACGATTTTTAAAAATCTTTCACCGACAGGAAACTACGTCATACGGGAATAATATAGGCTACTATTTAAGGTGAGAAAATAGTACATTATATTTGAAGCAAAAACCTTTTTTTTATATCCATAATCATATATTAAATTTTTTTTTTTTTATATTACATTTGCATTCACAGTGTTATAGTGAAAAATGTCACTACATAGTATAAAACGAAGTCGCTTCCTCTGTCCTTATATCCGTATATATGCTTAAAGTTTTAAAACTACGCAACGGATTTTGATGCAGTTGTTTTTTATAGATAGGGTGATTCAAAAGGAAGGTTTTTATGTATAATACAAGAGCACTCGGGCGGAAAGCTAGCTAATAAATAATGCTTAAAAAATCCATATTTAAAGGATTTTTCAGATAGGATCAGTACCAAAATTCATCAGTAAAGTGCTTTGGTTCGGAGTCTTGGAATATGCTATTGTTTGGAGTCCATATTACAGCGTAGGTATATTAATTTATTTTTGGAACACTAAAAAGTGAAAAACTAAAAAAAAAAACTAAAAAAAAAAAAAACTAAAAAAAAAACAAATAAAAAAAAATAAAGAATACAAGTCAAATGAATCTCACCCCTGTCTTCTTGTCTTTAATGTCTATTTTCCCGTCCCAATAGCCTTCTACACTTGCGACAGTCTCTTTTCCTTTCTTTATTCTTCCAGATATGGCATTTGTTTGATCAGCGCTACCTAAGAAAGACTGGAAAATAATTAATTAATATTAGACATCATTAACATTGCTCAGACATCCAATTAGATTTTATAATAATATATATTTAATTAATAATATTAAAAATAACTTCAATATATTATGGGTATGTTCCGATATACACTGCGACCACTGAACAGTATGACGTCAATTTAGTATACTGGAAGCCCGTTCCTTTATAGCTAGTTATACTGGTGACTTTTTAAAACGGAACGCAGTCCAGTATACTGTTAATCCTATTTTTGGCGCCATTTTCAAATTTGTTAATGCAAGGGAATATAAGTATAAAGATTCCCTCTTTTCAAAAGAAAATTGGAAAATTGTATAAAAAAAATATTTATCAATTAAATCCATCTTATAAATAAACGTAAGTATATTTTTTTTGTTTATTTAGAAACTTATCATTTTCTGATTCTGTTTCGACTGATCACGTGATCAAAAGCACTGCGAGCACCTTACCTCGAAATCTCCAGTACTCACAGTACAAATATGGCGGCAATTCATGACGTCATAAATTTCCCTACGGTACTGTAGCAGTTTACTGGCAGTCCATAACGGAACGGATTTTTCAGCAGTAAGACCACTGCGCAGTGCTCGCAGTGTATATCGGAACATACCCTATATAAACTCATCAAAATTATTTGGCTGCGAATGTTATGTACGCCTTAATTGAGAGATATATCAGACATATATATTTTTTAATTTAAAGTAAGTTATAAATAAATGTATTAATACATGTTCTGTAGCATTATAAATTCAATAAAGATCTTTCTATAAATAGGCTTATGAAAATACAAGTTTCTGTATAATATACATTTTTTTTAACAAAAACTTTTTTTTATAACAATCAGTCATTTCCACAAACGTCCATTAAGGCTTAATGACGCCTTTAAGCTCTAATGAAGGACAAATCTGTTTGGGTAATGATGCTTTAAACTCGTGTAACTAGCTGTATATTTAGAAGGTATATAATAGGTTATAATCATCTCTCAGTTGCAAAAATGTCCATTGAGGTTTAATGACACCTTAAAGCTCTAATGAATCTCTGTATCTCTGTATCTGTATGGGTAATGTCGCTTTAAACTCGTGCAACTAGCTCTATATTTTAGAAGGTAGATATATAAATAGGTTAGTTTCGGTTTTGAAAAATAAGTATGAAAAATATGCACAAAAAAACTAAAATTTACATTTTAATAAATATTGGAGGTTGCATACTGGCTGCTTTAAAATATAATCTGCCACATTGACGGCCTTTTGTATTACTGTCAAAAGAATAACCGATGTAAACGTTGTATTGAAATATTATGAATAAATTATTAAAATTAATAATAAATATACGAGATTCTGATTTTGATTCTTAAAGTCTCAAGATTATCATCTTAAAATTAAAAGTCATTATTATTCGTCTGCGTGTCACGTGACTTGAAACACTCAAAACCCGCCACTGTGTGACGTAACAGTGGTGACAGCTGTCAAATTAATCGTAAAAATATGTCTATTGATTATAAATGGCGCTGTTCTTAACTTATTTATTTCGTAATCGATCGTTAGATGGCACTGATCTTGTTTTATTGACATCTTTTAATCTACTAATCTATGCATATGTTTTGTGCACATATCATAGTGACGTCATGTATATGACAAACAAATTTAGCAGGTATAAAAAAAGTTTAAATTTTGATTCAATTTTAAGGCAAGAGAACGAGTATATTTTTTTCGAAATAAATGTTTGATGGCTTTATTTTTAAAATTAAAATATACACTAAGTATTATTTCAAACAGAGTAGAATACCCTATTTAAGACTTACCCTCAACTTGAATTCCACTTCCGCTTGGTATCCGGTCTCAATGCACATAATGTGTACCTGAAACATACAATTCTGGAGCTGATAATATATCGAAAAAGATTTTAAATTAATTAATATTATTATATATTTCAAAATATTCAGCAGTTACATTTAAATTAGACTCTATTAGGCAGCAATTTGATGTGTGACGTCACTGTACAAAATGGCAGATATATAATGAATATATTTCTTTACCAAAAACATTTTTACATCTAAAGTTTGGCTTTTTCTTTTAAGTGCATAACACCTGTACCAGAAAGAGCTGCTCTTCCATAGCTCAAGGTCTTAAAACAATGGTAAAGTTAAAAATATATAAATAATTCAAAATATTAAATATATGACAGCTAACTAGGCAGAAAAAATTATGTTTTATTATTTGTCTTTGAGTTAAAGTAACACTAATAATATAATCTTTTGAACATATTTGAAAATGACGGGATTAATAGAAAATACTTCAATGCTTGATTTCATAGAGATTTAATCCTGACTAGGGCTTCCAATCCCGGAATACCGATATCTCGGTATTGCGGTATCCCGCGTCTTTTAAGAATCCCGCGTGATGCGGGATTACGGGCGCGGGATCCGCGGTATTTGCGGGACTGAAAAAAGCGTACAGTTTGCGTAGAAACCTTAAAAAAGAAAATGAAGGAATTTGACCTTGATTTAGACAAAGGTGTTGTTGCAATTACAACTGACGGAGCCTCGGTTATGGTTAAAACCGGTAGTCTGATACCAGTATTTCAACAACTGTGCTATGCCCATGGGTTGCAACTTGGAATATTAAACGTTATTTATAAAAAAAAAATGAACAAAGTGACGATGATCCGCTCTAAAATACGTAGTAGTTTGGCAGACGACAGTTTAGATATGTTGTGTTTCCTTCGCAAACATTTTCAATTGAAAGCTTTAGCTGACAAACTAAATAATTAAACTAACGTATATCAATTTCAGTTGAGAATGTGTTTTATTTTAGTTGATTAGGGGGCGTCCATAAATTACGTGAGATGTTTAAGGGGGGGAGGGAGTCGAGTCAAATCTCATCTAATCTCACGTTGGAGAGAGGGGGGGGTCTCGGCAAATATCACGCAATTTTTAAAATAAGGCTCGGTGTGGGGAATCCCTCATAGAGAGACAAGTCTAAGATTAAGATCATTCACTAATTCGTTGGAAAGAAAATATTTCATTCGTACTTTGACATTATACATCATTCTTGATTTTCAAATCACTATAGGTACTCGTTTTATACCAAATAGCTAAATTTAATTTGAATTTACTAGTCTCTAACTAGTCTCAAATAAAAGTACGAAGCGAATTATTTTTTTTTTCTTTTTATTAAAAAAATCCAACGTGTTTAAACAAGAAACCCACATTTTGAAAAATCTCACGTGAGATTTGGGGATGGGGGAGGGGATTGAATAAAATCTCACGACATCTCACCAGGGGGGGAGGGAGGGTCAGAAAATTTGAAAAAACACCTCACGTAATTTATGGACGCCCCCTTATTTTTAATTTTGTTGGTGTATTTTTGATGAAGATTTTTTGTTTTTTTTCGGTAATTGTTACTGTTTTTTGTAAAGAATAAACGAAAGTGTAATTTGATTGATCTCATACTAATTGTAATTAATACTTAAATAAATGTAGAGTTAGTTGATTAATTTATTGTTTTATTTGCCTTATATAAATATGAATATTTTCAATATGCGGGATCCCGCAAATACCGAGATCTCGTGAGATTGAAAATTCGTAGTCCCGCAAATACCGAGATTGAATTCAGGCTGCGGGATTGGAAGCCCTAATCCTGACATCCGATCTATCCATATTACAAAATTAATCCATGTGCCAATTTTGTAATTTTTCATTTACATATCATACTTAAAAAAGACTTCTTATCCAACTTAAAAATAAATAAAAATAGTCATTCTGTGCCGCCATTTTGAACAATGACGACATAATTTTTCTACTATCGTTTGAGGTCACGTGGTTTACAAATGAAAAATCATAATTTTTAAATGATCAAATTCCTAATTAGTTGATGTTATAAATAATCTGATTATATCAGATACGAACGCTTAAGGTGTTCCAGCCATTTTTTTACATGTAATTTCAAAATTATTGTGTTATAATCAGTAGTCGGAATTAGGTAGAGTTATTCATGTACTTACACTTATTACATACAGCGAAAGACTAAAGTGGATATGCCTCAAATCCCGAGATTAATTTTAAAGAGCATAAAAAATCCCGTGATTTTTTAAATAAAAAGTTATTTACTTTTACACAATTTAAACTACTGCACGCACGACGTTGCCAAACTTACATCAATGACATCGGATGTCCAAAGTTGCAAAATACCAATACGCGCGATGTTGCCACGAAGGTCCACATTAATATCAACATTTCGATGCAAGTACATAAATAACTCTACCTAATTCCGACCTCTGCTAATAACATTAAATATTTTTTATTAAACATATTGATGTATGCTATTAGCTCGATGGGATAGAAGAAAAGTGCCGCGGCCCGCGAAAGTTGTTGTTAAGCAACTTTCGCGGGATGGGTGACCAAAAAAAATTTTATCTCAATCCACTCCGTACTACGGAAGGTTACGCCGGTAGTTTCGGCTGCATTTGCAGTCGTTAACACCCTCAAATCCGCATTGGGCCCGCGTGGAGGGTCATGGCCCATACTCCTTAAAACCCTCTCCTGAGCCTGACAAATACTATCCTAAAAACCGCATCAAAGACGGTTTAGCCAAACGGGAGATTATCGCGCACAAACATACATACATACATACATTTAGGTCAAACTGAGTACCTCATTTTTTGAAGTCGGTTAAAAATATGATATAACGGGCCACGACTCTACAAGCAGGACCAGTGCGGATTGGTGGGTATTATCTACTGTAGCTTAAGTGTAATAGGAATGGATTAGATTAAAATAACGGAGCACCACGCAGAACCAGTGCGGAAACTTGTGTGTTAATGACTGTAGCTAGAGTGAGCCATACCTTTCCTCCTAGTTCCATACTGAGGGTGCCTATGACAATTCCCTTGCAGTGAGCGTAGGGTGCCGTTGTTATGTAAGTCTCGTCCCACTGAAGCAAATGTACTCTCGCGCAGCCTTCCAATATGGCTGACGTAGATGTACCTTAAAATATTTACATCTTATAGAAAATACTTTAAAATTTATCGTCTTATCTATACTAATAATGTAAACATTCCTCTTTTTACAATATTAGTATGGATAAGACAATTTTAGTATAGATAATATATTGAAAGATTTAATGAATGTTTTTTTTCTTTTTCTACATTATGGTTACGTAGCGAGCCCCCCCTCTTCAACTTTATTATCCAAGCCATTTCTTGTTAACTTGAAACAAAATACTTAAAAAAAAAATGAAACCGAATTAATTTAAAAAAGTGAAAAATAATACTTATCTTAAAAGCGGTATATAAATAATTAGCTACAGAAAACCTTTGCCATAAAATATTTAACCACTTTTAAGATAAGTTTTATTTTACACTTTTTTTTAAATTTTAATTCGGTTCCATTTTTTTTAGTTTTAATTTCATTTCACTTTAGTGATATTTTGAGTTTTGGGGGGAACAAACATCACGTATACTTAATGAAAATTTAAGACTTATATGGTTTTCTCATAGAATCCATTGCCAGATCTGGACTAATTAAAATGGGACTAGCTTTCAAATAAAGAAAAACATCATCAAAATCGGTCCACCCAGTAAAAATTTAAGAGGTAACAAACGAGAAAAAAAAAACAGTCCAATCGAGAACCTCCTCCTTTTTTTTAAAGTCCGTAAAATACATATATACTCGTAATATTTCTCTATTATCCAACTGACGCACTGAATAGAATTTCTTTCTATTTTATACGAGCAATAATTGAAGTAATTTCAGTCCTCGTTTTATAATTAGAGGGTAAAATTATAAAACAAATAATTGAACTCTAAGTGTAATTTATAGGGACGACCGTCATAGATAATGAAAAAATATTAGATATACCGACTGCATTTAAAATGACTCTCCAAATTTTTTCTAGGCATTAGGTGTCGTTAATAGATCACATATATGAAAAAAAAACGGTATGTAAAATTTCCGCGCACAACCCCTTTGAACGCGTGCGCTTCCGCCTTTGCTTTCGTGTTGCGCACCGCCCGTCGCAGCGCCACATTTCGCGCGTCGTAATGTATTCCAATCGCGAATATTATGAAATGGTGCAGTGTTACATACATGGTGATCAACGTGACGCGGAGGCCCCATCGTGGGGCCTGCGCGATCGCCGGACCTACCACAGTGTGACTTTTATTTGTGGGGCGAAATTAAAAGACGTGTGTATGTTGAGGAAGCACAAAGCCTCGAGGACTTAAAAGTGCAAATCAGAGCGGCATTTTACCAAGTGAAAAATGACACGGTAGTGCTCGCAAAATTAAAAGACAATGTGCAGAAAAGGTGCAAGACTCTGTTTGGAGAGGAACGGTATGTACTTTGAACAATTATTAAAGTATACGTAGGTAAATAGTTAAAGTAGGTAGGTAAATTGATTAATAAAGTTGATGATTTTTTAAATACGCCTGATTGCAAAAGAATAGCGAGTTAAGTACCTACTTTGAATTGGTTTAACTAAACAGAATTTTAAACAGATATTTACTTACCTACTTACTTACTTTATAAATTTAAAGCAGTATAGCTATTGTAATAGTAGGTATCTAATAGGATTTATGCAATTTGACGGTCCTAAGCCCGTAAAAGTATGAAGAGGTTTCAATTTTATTTATCATTTCCCCAAGCATGACAAAACGAAAACATTTTAGGTAGCTACTATTATTACTATCAATGAATTGCGGCAAGGGAGGGAGGGGTAAGTGTAACGTAGCGCGTAAAGCGCATTACTGGGCAGCGAGAGCGTCCACAAATGTAGGTTTTTTGAAAATAACTTGGTGACGATATAACTCAACATTTTTGTTCTAAACGACATAAAAAGAAAAAACACGTATTTCATTATTTGTCGTAAAGATTAACATACTCAAATTTGGAGAGTGGTTTTAATTGCTTGCTGTATATGTCACATCATCTTTACGAAGATCGTTTGATTTAGTTTCTTTTATTTTAATTGCTAGTTACTCGATTACTTAATTACTCGATTGTAGAGAGAGCGTGATCATCGATACTTTTAATTTTATTAGAATGGTGAAATTGACTTTGACAGTTCGTTAACAAAAAGCAAGTTGCCGCCATTTTGGCACACATTCTGTTTCCGATCGCCGAGGAGTAAACACATCCGACGACATCACGCTCATCTCGTTATATTTTCGTGTGAAAAGTGATAAAATGGAACAAATCCACGTTGGTATACACGCCTGCGGTGTTATTTTAAAGATAGTCCTCCGATATGGACCATTTATTTGGGCTTTAAAATATATATAACGGCGGGTAGTCCGAATTTGCCCATTCGGACTACACGTCGTTATATATATATATATATTTTTTATGCTTCAATGTAAACAAGAAATGGCTTAGATAACAGGCATTAACTTGAAGAGCGGGGGCTCGCTACGTCACAATTTTGTAGGAAATTGTACAAAAGCGCAAAAGATTATAATTTAACTCACCATAAAATTTAGATCTGGCCAAAAGACTCCCCTCTATGACGTAACCGTCTTGTCTATTCGACACGTAAAACGCTGACACGGGAGGATGGTGGGAAACCTAGAGAGATATATTATATTATTATAATTCATTTGGGACAAGAACAACCTCAAATTACAATTCAATACTTTATTCTAGCATTTACTTAGAAGGTCAATATTAGTTATCCACATAAAATAATAAAATACTCAGCTTCAGTCGAGGGTAAAGCAATATTAAGAAATTATGTCAGTTATATTAAAAAATTTTAAACCATAGATAAATAAATGAGAATCTATTATAAATAATTTCACTTCCCGCTCTGTCTGTACTATCTTTCAAAGTACACAACGGATTCTAGTGCGGTTTTCGACTATATATCGAGTGAATACATAAATTGCTATCGCTATTTACCTTTGAAAGGGATAGTAATAGATTTTAAATTACACAGCTTGAATTCTGATAAATAAACCTGGCTAGTGCGAGTAAGACTCATGCACTTAACGGGAGCCAACCTTAAATATTTATTTAATTTTAATTATTTGTTTTTAAAGTTACTTTATAAAGACATATTCTGTAAATATATCACGTAAAAGGTAAAAATCGCGTTTGTTGTACGGGACCCCTTTAATAGGGATGACAACTGGGTAAAAAAATGCAATTCTATTTAGTCCGTCAGCCAGTTAATAGAAAAATATTAGATGCGTGTTTTTTTTACTTCAATTTAACAAGAAATAGCTTAGATAACAGGCATTAAAGTTGAGGAGTGGGAGCTCGCTACGTCACAGTTGAGTAGAAAACGTACTCTAACGTGACGTCATGCGAAATTTCAATTCAATGTAACGCCGTAATTTTATGATTACGGAAAAAATAAAAAAATACGTGTTTAATATTTTTTAACACTCTACCTGACGGACAAACAAACAAAAATTAGTCATCATCCCCATTATTTATTTTTTTCAGATTTTTATTATTTGCTGTTTAAGCGGCAACAGAAACACATCATCTGTCAAAATTACAATTGTCTTACTTTCACGATTCATGAGATATAGCCTGGTGACAGACGGACAGGCAGCGGAGTCTCAGTAATTGGGTTCTCGTTTTACTCTTTGCGCACGGAACCCTGAAATTGACCTCTAAGGGGGTTGCTTGGGAAACCACGTGGAAAGCTGTAAAGAGCGATCACCTGTTCAGCTACATAGTATGTCCTCGTATCATCGTCTCTGTTCTTCCAGTAGCACCTGAACACCTCCCCCAGTACTGGGTTGTAAGGCTTCTTCAGACCCTTAGGCTTCCTATATAACCCTGACAAATACCATCTAAGCACGCACTTAAACCTCAAATACGGATCGTCTAAGCTGCGTGCTCTGAAACAATATATATTACCGGTTAAACAACCTACGTAATGGTCAGCAATAGGATGGGTGACCGAAAATTTATTACAGCTCCTCCGTGCTTCGGAAGACAAAATCCGCACTGGGCCCAGCGTGGTTGGCCCAGAAGTGGGGACATTGAGAGCGACTGGCATTTTGGATTTTGAATAATTGTTTACCTATTTGTTTAAACATCTCTAATAATACACAGCCAAATATATCAATTAAAATGAGTCCAAATATTTGATTACAAACAGGAAACATTTAAAAAAAAAATAGTTCCCAAAATCAAACTAGATGTCGCTACGGTACGTTCTTGATTTCTCCATGACAACACTACCGGTTTTCTTCCATGTATAAAAGTAATTTAGTTTTCAAAACTCAATTAACAACTCATATTCTATTTGTACTTTTTCGTATTTGTATTGATATCTAAGTTTAGAACTTTGCAAATTTCAGTTTTTTAATGTGTTAGTTAAAAAGAACGGAAGTGACTGTCTTTGGTCCATTCGTTTCCTGAAAAAATCAAATTTTGCTAGAGTCGCCATCTAATGGAGGTGCTTTTTAGCTCTTTCGTTTTTTTTAAATACCCCCTCATTAGAATAAAAAAAATTGTCATGTATCCGTGTCACGATATGAAACCTTATCTAAATGAATTACTAAATTAAATTCTAAACCTGGATTAACATATAGACTTCTTTTTATCTCCCTAGGGACCACGCGAGCAAAGCCGCTGGCGGACAGCTAGTTTATTAATAGAATATAATACTCACTGCGCTAGTATGTCAGCGTGATAATAGTTATCGGAAAGCTTGTCGAGGAACGAACGCGGTTCCAATATGAAAGTTGGCAGGACCACCTTGGACAGATCCATGCCGGGCCGGGCCTGCTTCAGCAGGAACCAGAGGAGCGACTTATTCTCCTCCGCCACCTCCTCCACTAACTCACCAGCCTAGAAGCAGTTTTTATGGTAGTTCATGCGTTCACTCGATAGATGGCGCTCATATTAGATTAAAAATCCGTTTATTAAAGTCATATTGAAGTAACAATCGTACGAATTATGACATCTGAGGGTACATTATATTTGTCCTTGAACGAGAATGCTTGTGTCCTACAAGTGTAAATACATGTTTCTGTTATAAGTTCGGAATATATTTCGACTTATAAATATTCGCCAAAATACTTTTGATGGCACTAATTTGGAAAAATTACGCTTCGAACTTGAAGAAAGTAGAAAAAGTCTACTAATATTTTTTTCTAAAATACATATAATATTAAATTGGTTACATAAAGCGTTTCAACTTCCATTAAAACAGCTGTAAGCATAAACGCACAAATAACATATAATAAATATTACTTTGAATTTGAATAGAGCATTTTCGGCCGACTAGCAGCAGTTCCACAAACACAGAACAATATCTCCGAAACTATTAATCTCAGACATGTTGTTAATTCTAAATTATGTGTCAGATATTAATGGACTATTTATTTATAAAATAAAATAATGTTGTTAACTAGATAGACTATTCAAAAAAATACGAATCGTTATCTGTGCATCAGAGGCAGTGTCAGTTCCTACCTTCATTGTATCATAAATTATAGAAAAATGCGTTTTTTTGAAGTCGTAAATACCTTTCAATCCGCATTTGGCTAGCGTGAGGGTCATGGCCCATCCTCCTTAACCATACATAAGGAAGACCTGAGCACCTGCACTGGGGACGTAAAGAAGCTGCTGATGATAAACTTACCGCCCCCGTCTCCCTATTGGGGTCCTCCACGTAGCTACTGTCTATCCTGGCCAATATATCCTGCTTTCTGGACAGCACCTTTTGCCCTTCAGACATTCCAATTCTTGACACTTCACTGTCCGAATCCGACGCGGCACCTGCTAATTCTGCGAACGGGTAGAGGGGAGGTGTATAGTGAAGTTAATGGTGTGATAACTACAACTACTAATGCTGGTAGCTTTTATCGATAGTTTGGAAACATTGAAATATTCGACACAACTAGCGATAGCGTCAATACTATTTCTGGTACTTGCAATTCAGATAATATCATAGATAATTCCTAGTTCAGGCATTTGAGTTACTTTGTTCAATTTTGTATGTTTATCTCTAGCTTACCTCATCGATCTGTATAAATGAGACATTTTACCATTTCAAGAATAACGCAGGCCCCAAATTGCTTCCTGGTGGCATAAAGTGTTTACTTTAAAACGTCATTGCGATACCATTACAATGCATCAGCAAAATCGAATGCCTGATAATTGATACTAGCTGAAAACACTACAAAACTAAAGGAGGAAATAGCAACTCTTTAAATAAAAGGAACACTGTCAACGATTTTTCGTCCTCTTTCATCGCACCGAAGCATGCTATTCTAGAGTGAAACAGTCAAGTCATGGGTGTAGACCGCTCTAAAACACCATGTTTCAACGCATCAGAAAGGGATAGAGCAATAGAAAACTAATAAATAACACAAATAGATTTTCTAGCAAACAATAACTTTCTAATACATAATAACTCTTCCAATGTAAAACCAAATTGCCTCCATACGATTTAAGCATATTCTCGTTTAAGTCCCATTAGAATTTAAGTACAGTGGCACAGGTTAAGGTTTTTCTGTCGTTCAAACAGCAATAATAACTTAAATCAGAGAGGAAAGCTTACCTTCACCATACTTAGAGAAAGGTAAAGCTATTATTAAACCAGGGAAAATCAAGATGGCATCCCAGGCAGCGGCTATCTATGAATTTTTTCAGTTCTTTGTAAAGTCAAACGTATTTTTGGGACACAAAGTAACTACCGAGCTTAATGTCTTGAATGGTTCAAACGAACTTTTTCTTGTAAAGTGTCAATTTTCCCCGATTTTAGGGTAACTGGAGATTTATCCGTATGCGTTAGCGCATAAATAGACATGCCTCGATAAACATGTGTATTCCTCAATCTATTGTTCTAACATAGTTTAACCTCTACTTAATTAATTATTTTTATGATTATCTTATTAAAAAAAAGTCTCAATCAAATATCTTCTCTAAGTATGCACATATTTTTATAATCAACTAACCTTCAACTGACAAAGAACGACCATTTTTACCGCTCTCTTGTAAATAATCTTTGACGCCATTTGCTTTTCCATAATCGGACAAGATGGCCGAATCTACAGAATATTTCCTGTTGTTCCTCTTCAACGCGAAATGGCCCGGTTCAGAGATCTGTCGCGAGATCTTCTTCTGTATCTTCAGTATGGAGAATATACTCGATCGCCTCCTTTCACTCTTGTCTTTGGTCTTCGTTATAGGCAACGACGTGTCCAATTCCATTTTGCCACTGATCTTCACTAATATTTATGATAGTATTCCGTCAGTCATAGCACTTCTCTTCACATAAATAATTTATAGTTTCTCACATCTTTTTTACTTTTTATGGGTGCATTGTAATAATGTTTGTACACTACAGATATTTAATAGTAGAATAAGGGATTTCAGAAGGATTGCAGAAGTATATTAATATAACTGCGAAACTATGATATCTAGAAACTTCCACGCCTAATCAGTATCTTGGAGACCTGATGTACACAACCCGTACTCAAAAAGGGTATTCTACTCTGCTTGAATTAGTTGTAAGTTTTTATTTTAATTTAAATAAGCCATAAGACAAATATTTCGGAAAAATAAACGCATTTTCCTGCTTTAAAATTAAATCAAAATTTAAACTTATTTACGCGAAAACGCAGTCATGTTCATGACGTAATTCCGATACGTATACAATACAGATTCACAGAGTATTAGATTAAAAGATGTAAATAAAACCAGAACAGTGCCATCTAACGGTCGATTACGAAATTAAAATATATAATAGTTCTCATCTAGGAATTTGATGTATAATAAATAGGTGTCGTTTAAGACTACTTTAACAGTTGTCGCCTGAGTGACGTAACACAATGGCGGCAAACCCCATGGAAATACATATAAAAATCTTGACTTTTAATTTTAAAATAATTATATAATCATATATTCTTAATAAAAAATGTTTAAAAAAAAAAAAAAAATTCCATGTTTATTACAATAAAAAAAATTGTTTTTGGGCAATTTCATGGATTATTTTTCACTACCGAAACTACCTTATTTGCATGTACCAAAGGGCTGTACGGGTTAGCATGTATGTAGAATTTATCCAGTTAATTTTCAACTCCACATTCAATAAAATAGATTTAAAAATCAAATAGAGAAATTTGACAGATTTATATGAATGACAACAAATTTTAAACGGTTTTATTGACGTTTTGGACCCTTTACAGGTTCCGCGCTCACACAAGACTAAGGTGATAGAATTTTTAATTATAAGTATGGCTACCTTCAAAAAACCAATACTACTGGACACATTAAGAATATTCAAAAAATATACGTATTTTATGGTAACGTTTACATTTATGAAATTAAATTATTATAAAAATACATTTCATTTATTTGTTAATTTATGGATAGGTTGTAATATTTATGTATAGTGCGAGTGAAAATATAAGAAATCAATAAAATCCAGTTAATAACGTTAGATATCATAGTTTCATAGATAAATCAAAAATATATAATATAGAGATTAAATTTCTAACTTTAATTGTTTGTGTGGGGTAATTTCGGAAGAAATGTGGGCAACTTTACAAAGTCAACGCGATTACGATTTATGGTATTATGTATCTAAATGCTTAAATGCTTAAGAAACATAATTAAACCATAGTTAAAACTGTCGAAAGATTGCAGTTAGCGTTTAACTTTCGTTTAACATTCATCGATAGCTTTCAAGAATTTTTCGCTTTGCTTTGGCATATATAATATTTAAATACATATATTTTACCGATAAATTGAGTTGATACGACTCGCATGACTTTTGTACATTTTCTACAAAACTGTGACGTAGCGAGCCCCTCCCCTCAACCTTAATGCCAGTTATCTAGGCCTTTTCTTGTTTAAATTGAAAAAATGTAATTTTAATAAAGAAATAATATATTATAGTTAATGAACTGATAAAAGTTTACCAATTTTATGATGCAATTATAATTTGACTTCAATTACATGACCATTGAAAGTGAAATATTATTAATACTTGCCTCGGTAATTTACAGGAAGGAAAACGGTAACTTTAATATTTCCTGATTTGCTGAACAACTGCTGTTATATAGTGTAGGATAGGATAGGATAAAAACTCTGTACACACAATTTTTGATTTCACGCACAAAATAAAAATAGAGAAATAACAGCAAAGAAAACTAAATCCTTTTTAGACTAGAAAAGAAATCTTTTACGTTATAATTTTTTTTTTTTTTAATATAACAGACTTGAAACTTTTTAAAAATGATACATAATACTAAGGAATCTCAAATGCGATTTTTACAAGAAACTGCAGGGCGGAAGTTTTCTGTAGGTTATTATTTAAATGATACAAGGCTTTAAATAGAAAACATGCAATTATAATATAAAAAAATAAATAATTATAATTTTGTACGGAATGGGTTTCCCATGCTTAGGACTGACCAAATTATGTCAACGTTTCTGTAAAGATCCAAACCCGATATCGAATTCATACGAATCCTTATTCTCTTCAAAAAGCGGCGTCCGCTCGACCTTGAATTGGTGATAACATTTCGTGGCATAAGTGAAGTGAGTTTCAAAATGACATAGGAATAGAATATCTGAAACACGTATTAATCAATTTTGTTTTGTATTTTTATACAAAAAAATGGAATCAAGAGAATTTCCAATAAACATCTTGTTGATTTAAAGAAGCCGATTTGAGTGTTATGTTGTGTAATTTTTAAACAAACTTATAATGTAAATTGCATTTTCTATCGTACGAGTATTATCTGTTATGCATGGTTTATATTATACTGATTTACGTATCTCTAGTAGAGTATTTAATATAAATATTTATGTATAATGCATAGTGGTGTGTTCTCCTCATTTGGTGTCTATGGAAGATCAGCTTCGAGGTATCTTAATGACATCTCGGCACTATGCTGAATGGATACCTTTTTAATTCCACGGTGTGTGTTCATTTATTCATTCATTTTGTTATTTGTACATTGTGTGGTTGCTAATTAAATAAATAATTATTATTAATTTCTTCACTAAATTACGCGAATTGGGACACATGAGTGAATTCGAATTCGAGTTTGGATTTTTATAGAATCGCTCTGCAGATCTCGACTCGAAGTTTTCTCTTCTGTCATTTTCACTTTAGCCGGCCAAAGGTTTTAACCAAGTACTAACTTAAATTCTCGTTTTATAATAAGATGAACCGACATTATCTTTCACATTGAAGAATTTTAAACTCATAACAAGCGTAGTCTGCGTGTTTGTTTGCGCGCACAGATAAAATTTGATAAAGAACCAAGGTATGATGTCATAATCATAAAATCAGTACATGTATAATAAAGACTTTAATACTCAGACGTTTTGTTTTCAGTTACGCAATAGGGATGACGACTGGGTAAAAAAAAATGCAATTCTATTTAGTCCGTCAGTCAGATAATAGAAAAATATTAGATATACTTTTTTTTCCTTCAATTTAACAAGAAATAGCTTAGATAACAGGCATTAAAGTTGAGGAGTGGGGGCTCGCTAAGTCACAGTTGTGTAGAAAACGTACCCTAACGTGACGTCATGCGAAATTTCAACTCAATGAAACGCCGTAATTTTATGATTACGAAAAAACTAAAAAAATACGTGTTTAATATTTTTTAACACTCTACCACCTGACGGACAAACAAACAAAAATTAGTCATCATCCCTATTCTTGTGATTGAAAATAAATCACACTACTTTACGTCACTATATATTT